GTTTTTCAGGATAGTAAACTAGAAATAAAGGGAGCTAAAGTTATTAGTTGCAAAGTCCTTCTAGTTTTAAACTTTCTGAACCTAGTCACTTGAGGAGAGAATGTTGTCAATGCAGCTAATTACCCCTCTACCATTTACCCATTCATTTTGCAATTTGGAAAGTCAATTTCTCAAATTATAGTGAGTATATAGGTAACTGTAGCAAAACACTAGGAGCACTTGACCAGCCTTCCTCAGCCTGGGTTCCTTGTAATAGTTTAACCCTCAGATCTCAGCATCTTGCTTCCTATGCTAGCTAGAGATGATGGAATCAATAAGGAAGGCTGCTCTAAACTTTTGGTGCCATCCTACTCACGATTGACTGTGGACAGCAGAATAAAGTGGGAGTAGTATATGTGGCATGTGGAATTGGAATGTGAGAAAAAATTCAGAGAAGAGGGAGTGGAACTCATTTCCAAGACAGTTCAGTAAGGAGATGGGCACTTTTGCTTGGTGGAAAAGTGATGGAAGGCATCTCAGGTTTTTCCCCTCTTCTTCATCTGAACGGTTTCCCAATGACATAACTTGGTGTGTATTATTTTCTTGGATTTATATGCCGCTGTGGTTGATACAGACTCTGAGTGGCTTACATACCTAATAAACTTTAAAACAATAAAAATGAAAGAATGTATTTTCCTTTGAGTGACTTAAAAGGCAAATGTGTTTTTAAGACCGATCCCATGACAAAACAATTCAAGACTGTCTCCTTTCCCTCAGGGAATACTGTAAGTAACATTCTGGTAATGCATGGAATCCTAGTTAATTGCATCAGATTTCAGAAGCCAAAGATAGTTGAAAGTCAGAAATCTGGCTTGGCTTTGGCTCTGATGTGCTGGTGTTTCTGTTTTTAACTTTGCAAATTTCAAGTTCATTTGTAGTTTCAATATTGCATTTTTACAACGCTGCCCTTTGTTCTTTTTGTCATTTTGGTTTTGTCTTTTCACCAGGTCGTTTTCGGCAAATTGAAGTGCTTACTACTGTCGCCAATGCATTCTCTTCCTTGTACTCCCAAGTTTCTGGCACTCCCTTGCAAAAAATTGGGAGCATGAATTCATCTTCCAGTAAAGAAGCATCCAGCCCTCCTCCTCTGACACGAAGCAACACAGCGAATCGTTTGATGAAGACCCTGTCTAAACTCAATCTCTGTGGGAACCCTCAAGCAGGGGACAGTGGCAGTAATATAACCACTGAGAAGGGCAAATCTGAAAATGGGAGTGAAGAAGCAGAAGTGAAAAATGAAGCCAAAACCCCAAAACACTTCAAAGCATCTTTGTTGGCAACAGTAAAAGAAGAAGTATCTTGCAATCAGTGCAACCTACTAGGAGCTTTAGATACTTCAGAACTTTCTCCTGGCACTAACATTCAACAGGAAACTCAAGGTTATGCTATGTCTTATGAAGATCAGCAAAATAACAACTCTTTTGGACATTCGGGTGGACTCCATGAAAAGATTGCTGCTATGAACTCTTCTAGTCTCATGGCCGATACTCTGGAATCAACCAATTCTGAACTTAAAAGTATCGGGGCAATACAAACGCCTCCAGCTTCAGTGGCTGATAAAGAGACTTGTGTTCCGCTAACCATTCCATCCATTGCCAGCCTCATGCTGCAACAGAAGGACTCCTTTGAAATGGAAGAGGTACGTAGAAAGAGATAAGGGTTGTTATTGTTGTTCTAGTTCCTCAAGTGCTGACTCTCCTCCATATTCTGCACCAGCTTTTTCTAGCCTGACACCTGGTAGATGGTGGAACCAAGTAGGGGACTTTGGAGAGTTGTTGTCCCTGCACGTTGTGTGGATTGCACAGATGTTGGATGTAGAGTTTTGAGAAGCTGCTAAAGCGGTTCTTTGGTATGCAGTGCAGGAGATCTTAAACTAGGATTTTAAACTAGAGCCTTCTTGGCTTCATGTACCAACCCTGATCCATTTTTAGTGAGTACTCCAGTTACAGGAACTCTCACAAAGAGGGGATTGGGGTACTAATGGGAAGGAAGGTTATACTCTTCTGAGATACTCCTGATTAAAACTATGCTTAAAAGCCAGCCAGCCAGCCAGCGATATAGCATGTTTGGTACTGTTAGTTACTGTTAGGGATGGACAGCCTGTGGCCTCTTAGTTTCACTTGTTTATGCTTTTGGAGTTCCCTCCCACCACAATTGCCGAAAACTGACAGCATAGTTTCTTTCCATTTTTAAGTGGGAATCACATAAGAACCTATTTTAAACTCTAAAACAGGTCTGTCAACCTATTGAAATTTAGTGAGAAGCTCCTATTCCAGGATGGGTAATACTGAATTAGATAGACAGGTGGATGAATTTAAAGCAGCTGGCCCTTACACCTTTAGATCAGGGGTAAGTAACTTGATGTTCTCCAGATAATATGGACTGCAATTCACAGCATTTCTTTCTGTTAATTATGCCAGATGGAGCAGTTGGAAATTGGTCATAAAATTTTGGAGAGTTCCAAGTTATTATATTAATCCTTGTTATAGGTGTATTTCAAGTTATTGGATTTCATCCCTAAAGCTCATAATGGTTGAATACCACTTGCATCAGTGTCCTGACATGATTAATGTTAATAATTTTATCCATGTGGCAGGTCTGGACAATTCTAATTTTGATGAAGGCATTAAAGCATCCATGTCTGCCTCTCAGTTGTGCAACTTTTTATTTTTTATCCAAAGCCTGTCTTCTGGAATTGGAAAATGTATTCTCCCTGTGACGTTCCCATATCATGCTAACCATAAGAGGGTTTATTTCTTTTTCACATTACGAGGAATAGGTATTTAGCCATTCTACTTTATAAACCATGGTTTATGGCTTAGTGTTTTTTATATATATACCCAGGTATTATGTAGACTTCAGCAGATTATGGTTAAAACAAACCAGGATTTAGCATGCTATATAAACCTGGCCTGTACATACTCGTATGCTTTCTTATGCCATTTTTGATGGCCAGGATTAATCTTTAATTTTTACCTGGGTTGGACTATCCTTTATTCAAAGGATAAAGTTATTTACTCAAATAATGTATATCTGGAACATGGGGAATAGGATAGAAAGAGCCAAGTATTTAAGCAGCTAATTGTTGTTTGTGCATGTATTTTTGGGAATGGATTTACATATATATGAAATTCATTGAAATCCTGTGTTTCTTTTACATAAGTATGTTCCCCAAACTGGTGCCCTCCAGGTGAGCAGCATCCATCCAACTCCTTCATCCTTGGCAAACATGCTATGTATGGAGAAGGAGTGTACATCTGAAGTGTACCAATTTGGAGAAAAGTAACCTGGTATATATGGCCTAGCACCCCTCTCTCCAGTCTTCCCAGTTCCTTGCTGACAGCTGTCATTATGCTTGAAAGTGCAGCATATTTAAGTGAATTCCTGACCTTCCTAGTATTTTGCTTTCCTTTCTCCATTATCCTTGCTTTCCATTATCCTTGCTGTTTCCTACCTGGAAAACCCCTGCCCAGGACGCATTTGTACCGTATCCATATTGAGACCAAGCATGTGTTTTCTGGGTCCATGCCCAGACCAAACACATATGTTTTGGTCCCAGCACAAACCACTCAATATTGTCCTTTTTAGACATGCAAGCCTGTTCACAGCAAAATGTGCACATTCCTACTCATTCAAGGCTGCTGCAACACCTTTGAAAAAGGTCACTGAGTGTCAGTGAATGAAATACACCTGAAATAATACATTACCAAGTTATGTTTATGATTTTATGGGTAGTGCACAGAAATGAGGAATCTAGCTGTTAATAGCAGAAATGAGGACAGTTCCTATTTCTTTTTATCCTTTTTTTGTTTTTCTGATTGTCTTGTGCATAGAAAACACTGTGTGACAGTGTGGAAAGTGCCCTCAAGATCTGCTTTTCTTCTTTCCAAGCTGGACTTTGGAATGTTTTCTTTGCACGTAGCATGGCAAAGATGTCGAGGGCACAGTTTTCCATGCTGTCCCAGAGCCCTTGAGGCTGGAGCTTCTGTCGGAAGTCTGCTGCTGTCAAGATAGCCAGCGTGGGAGCGTGAGTCAAGGCACAGCTTTCCCAGGAGCTCTGGCCTCTGCGTTCTCAGCCAATTGGATGCGTTTGTGCTGGCATGCTTATTGATATTGGCGAAAGAGATGTGGAGGGGTGGAGGGAACAGGGCAAAGATTGTGCGTAGAAATGCAGGCAGGATTCTGACCCTGCCAGCAGCAGCAGCAGCAGAGGCGGGTGAGGGGAAGGATCGGCCCTTTATCCCACCCCGACCCCCTGATCACCCAGTGGGAAAGGGAGGACCAGAAACTCCAGCACAGCCCTAGGAGCAAATGAAGTCACGGAGTCGCCTTTGCAGACTTGACACCTAGTAAATGGCTTGTAAGATGGGTATTTATATGCATTAATAACAGTAATGCGGAGACATCTGTGTGCTTGTCTTTGGGTTTCTTTGGTTTTGTTTTGTTTAAGGAGTCTTAAAATTAAGGAGCTGCTGTTGCTGTTTCAGTTGTGTGATGTACGCATTTTTAGAGAGTGCAGTGCAGATATAGCTGAAGATAGTAACTTGTTAATGAGTACAGATTCTGGCTTCCAGACATTTTAGAATTTGTCTGTCTTCCAACTGTCGTATTTTTACAGAAATCTAGTTTAAAAGTGGAAGGCGATATTTGCTATCGATACTACATTGAGGATAGATGTATATTAATTCTATGTACAGTATGTTTTTGTTGTTCTTTAACACTCTGCTATGGAATCCCTCCCCTTGCTCTGATTTTTACCTTATGGCATTCTTATTCCAGCATCTTTCTTCTTCCTTTTCTATGACAGCACTGATTCAAACACACAGGAGCCATTTCTGATACTGTATAGATTTAAGTGTCTCCAACTTCAGTTCTGAAACAGATGGGGAGAGAAAACTAAGTGGCATAATCTAAGTTTGCTCCTAAACATTGCAGCAAAACTGCAGAATCTGAGTTCTGGTGATCTGGCATGCAAGAAGCTGGGTGTCTCTTTGCAGAGAAATGCTGATTAAAAAGGAACAGTGGGAGAGCCATGAAGACTCATTTATGAAGCAGAATTCGTTTCCTGCTTTCTTTGGTTCCTTTCTAGCTAAGCTGTAGTTTAGGGGCATGCAGACTTAGGTTTGCTGGGTCTAATTTTGCTTTACAAGGTCCCTGACTTAAGTGCAAAGGAATAGCTTGAGATCGGAAAATAAACTTTACCATTAAAAGATTTAGGATGTCTCTGACTCAGTGTCTCAATTCAGAAATTTGTTTTCTGTACTAGAAATGAGATCACAGTTGAGTTGCATAAAACCATGCCCAAACGTTTCTTTCATCTTTATAGTCTAATTTAAACACTTGGAAAGCAGAAACATTTAGGGATCAAATGCAAATCAACCAGAAATCTGCCAGTAGATTCTGCTCATACTTTCCTCCAATTCTGCTGTTCTCCAGGAACAAACAAGAACTAGTATGCTGTAAGAAAGCTGCTACCGCACAGATAAAATAACAGAAAGATTGCTGTAGGTCCAAAGCATCCTCTCCAGAGATTGCCTGTTGCTGTACCTTTGTGTTAACAGCCTCGCTTACTTTCAGCAGAGACAGTAAATAACTGCTGGCTTATTGCCAGTGTCTCTCCTGGTAACAAACAATTCTACTGCCTCTGTTTATTGCAGGTGATCAAATGTGCCATTTGTTTCTCATGCAAAGATTTAGTAAAATTACCTGTCCTCAAAAGAGGTTGGCTTTAGCCTACCCCTTCATCAGTTTCTCCTCCAAAAAGTGGCTTGCACAGACACAAATGGGTACCTATTTATGGTTTTAAGAAAAGGAGGTGTCTGCTCTCAAGTAAGAATGCTGCTTAACTTTTTTGGTATAGGGTTATTGACTTGGGCTGGGCAAAATCATTTAGAGCATTGGTTCTCAACGGGGGCGGTACCACCCCCCGGGGGGCGGG